ATTGTCATCTTAACACATTTCCTTCAAGTCTACATCGTTACATATAACCCTCCTTCAGATATTTGTCTGTTAATGTACAATTGATGATTCAATGTTGTCTTTATTATTGTTAACTTTCTAAAATCATACAACATTGTTTTATCGAATTACAGGTTACTTTACTAGATATTTAAATATTTAGACTACTATCATTGAAACATTTGTCAAATGACAAATTAACAGTAAATGCCTTTTTTCAGTTTGAGTATGTGACATTGTCTGCAAAGCCATTTTCATTTTATCGAATGACGTAATGGGATTCTTTCATGGTTACTTATGTGTACTTTCATGAATTCTAAAATGCTGTTAATTAATCAAAAGACAATTTTCTTCACTGAACAATCTTTCGAAATGTTAATCATACAGTAATATTAGACTAATTCAGCATTTAACATTAATCAAGCGTACCATTTACATTAGGTTACCACGATTACATATTCAGATCATTAGACATCTATGACAAACTGTGTCAGCATAAATCTATTAGTTAAATGATAAGTTAAGATAATTCATGAAAATGGTTAAAGGGAAAACCATTTCCACCTTGTGAATTTTTAAGTTTATCAATTTTCAGGTAATAGTAATTACCATTGTAATTAGAAATTTATATCTATTTCCAATAAACTGATCATTATAGCTAATAAATAGTTATCAATTTAGTCTAGTTTTATTTGGATGACATGTAAAATCATTCCATCTAAATGGAAATTATATGGGTACATTATTTTAGGATAACTAAACAAAATAAGTTCTGTTTCTATGTGATTATTAAAAGAATTGATTCAACCTGTCATTTCAGTATCTATAACCAATCAGTAGTATCATGACAGTCAAATAGAATTGATGTGGCTTTTTTCCAAGTTAAAATTTTCTACTACAAAACAATTGAGTCGTCTGTGAACTGAAATAAAATTTAACTATAACATTCCAAATGTCGTCATCCGATCAAAACAGTTTATGCCAGATGGATCTCAACTATAATCAGATTGCAACGATTTACTATTTACAGGCAACTAACGAATTCGTAAAGGTAACCTAAAGGGTTCTCCTAATTAAATAAGCACATATTTTAAAATGCAGGTTAACCAATCACTTATAATCAAATATTTATAATCACGATCCAAATTTTTATCAATAGGGGTTATGAATCTCAATCGTCATAGCAATAATGTCAGCTAAGGTGTGTGAAATACAACTTTTAAAAACTTTTTAAAAAGTGGCCAAGAACATATCAAGGAGCAGTTATTAATATCGCACTATTAGATTCTCGGCTAATAACATATTTTTATCATGAAATGTAACAGAAAGCTTATTCATATATTCGAATTTATCTGTTACTATTTATACACGTCATCTCAAAACGATAAAAATCGAATTGAATAGCAATTTATGTTACGATCGAATTTCATTGATAAAATATCAGTTGCTTCATTGTATACATCATTCGAATACTTTCAGTTAACGATAAAACTAATCACATATAAACAGTTGTACACGATATTATGTTATATGAAACCACATTCCTTTCATTTGACTTATTGAATTTATACCACTACAAAAGGAGATTTTATAAGTTCAATAATACTTGGCAGCTTGCTTGGATATCTGGGCTACTGATTTTTCCTACCATCTAAATATTTCACTAAGTTAAATTTTTGATTTTAACACATTAATTATGTCTATTAAATGCATAACTTATTCAAGTGCGTACATAATTGCTTATAACCCATCGCTTTACAAGGTACTAAAAAGCATAATTCGAGACACCTCAGTGGCCGGCATTGAAAACAATGAACACTAATCAGGCGTCGATGCCTGATCTGCTAAATTCCGACCCCCGAACACTAATTGGGAAGGTGGGCTACCTTCGGTCCGTACTAGGTCTAAACGCGTATCGTAATTGTAGTGTAATCACAATTCAAGAATACTGGTTAAAACATTTACACGACGATTCCCTAGTATCACTACATGGTTTCAATACCTAATATTGAGGCAGATCAAGCAATAAGAAAAATTGTGGCGGCGATGTAGCTACATTTGTAAACATGGACTGTTGTGGATCTAAATTTGCATGTGTTAAGTTTTCAAACGACTTTATCGAGTCATTTGTACTAGTTTGAAATTTCCCATTCATGTTTAAGACTGTAATTGATCACCCGTCATCAATCGCGTTTTTATCGACAGTTTGACAGTAAAATGTCCTCCAAAACACTTGAGCAGGTACAGTTATATTTATGTTATCAACATTTATGTGACTTTAGACTGAATTTCATATGCATTGTCTGTTTTTATTGATAAATTCACTGAATTTCCTGTTACTCGCTTCACTGATTCGCTTTCAATTATATGTGGTAATTTTAGTTCTTGTTAATATATCTTTCTTTCATATTAAGTTTACCACAATGTTGTCAATTTTCCCACTCATCTGGATACGCATTTATGCTTAGTTTTCATTAATGATTTAGTAATGTGTTCCATTTATTAGTTCTGATCATTGTATTATTTGTGTTCTACCTAAAGTATATAGGAAGCTTGCGTAAAGTACACTCTTACACCAGATGGAAAAAGTTAAAAATAAAAACTATTCAGAGGAGAATATCCAACATTTGAAAAACATTTCGTAGGACAAACTGGGATTTATTTACAAATGACTAATTGGGAAACATTGTTGATGTTGCCACTTGCTATATTAAATCCTATCTTCATATTTGTTATCCCACTGGAACTAATTTTGCATGTTTTAACCGGCTTACATCCCCATAACTAAAACGATTTCAGAGGGAAAAATGAAGAACGCATGGGGATAAGATCTCTACTGAAGTTCGAAAGCCAGTGAATATCGAATCGATCGACGATCCCTGTCAAGGCCAAGGATAACCAACGCGCATCAGTTATTTGTACGCCATGGGCTGGCCCATGCGGCAGTGGTCTTACCTTCGCTTGTATCTACTTTAACAAATATATTTCTGTGATAACGTCCTTTTTGTTGAACAGTCTTCAAAGTATCTATGGTACCTTGATACGTCAATCGGGTAATCCACGGAAGTTGCTGGCTACTAGGTGTGACTTCGATGTTAGCTGGTTCGTTACACCATTCCCGTCTAATTCGATTAAGTTTCCAATCATTCAACATAGATCATGTACGCTGGTGATCTACATGGTTTAATAAACCAAGAAATTACGCGTCTGAATTAAATGCTCATTCAGATACTCCTATCTTGTAAAAATTCTTGAAATATATGGAAACTATTTAAAAAGCTTACAAGTGGGAGACGCATTAGTGGAAGTCCCCAACTGTATGTTTGTTATGTAACTAAGTCATTTGTAGGTCAATAATCTGATGTGATTCTTCCATAAGTTAAGGGAAGAGTTGTATTTGAACTTTTACTGAAACTGACTAGACCCAAACCTTTTTTTAGAAATATGTTGATATTTTGTGTTATACATTCACGATCACTCTTAGTGAATTCTTCTAAACTGATTTTATACCAAAAATATGGAGAAAGATAAAGATAATCCCAATACCGAGGAAAGTATCTGGCAATAAGAATGCAAAATTTAGACTCATAGCAATAACTTCGCCTTTTCTTAAGACAATGGAAAAACTAATGCTACTCCTATTTCAGCATGCAATAAAGAACTATATTGATCAATACCAGTTTGCGTAAAAATTCAAGAGAAATACCTCAAGTGCTGCTGTTCTTCATCATAATATAGTTTTCAGTTTGTGAAGGAGCAAGAAGTATGTTTGATGCGTATTTCAAAATTATAACTCTGTTTCAAGACTACTACTATCAAACAAGTTTGCCAGAGTTAACGCTGACAGCTGGATAACTAGATAGGTGTGTTCTTACCTCTCTGGAGGGAAATATTCTACGTCTTTACTATATCAAAATGTTGTGCCACATGGGTCCATTTTCTCCTCTTTTCTCACTTTTTATAGGCAATTTGCCATATCCTATAGAAAACACTTTTGTTAGATATGCAGATAATCTCATTGTACGTCTAGCAATTTCTGATGCTTCAAATCTCCTCAGAATGAATGGGTTCTTATCGCTCAATGAATGATGGTTTCCTGTTAGTGGTCTCATATTTAATCTCTCTAAGTGTAAAGCTGTTAATTTGAGTCTGAGGAATGAACAGCACAGAAACATCTAGTTGAAATCCTATAAAGTGTGTATTATCGATGATTCCGTAATAAAAAGTGTTGGAGACCTTCTATCTTAATGTAATGTGTTTCCTCTGATCTCTCTTGATCGTTGATTAAAAAACGTTTTTCATTTGACTTATTATGTAAAGAAACCACATGCTTTTGGAATTATTCTATATTTACTGTTACGATTTATAGATTCTTGTATATAACCCGTTGTTCTTTACTGTTCCGCATTATTCTTTCCTGGCATTTAATAAAGGTTTTTGCTGTGTTTTAGAGAGTACTGAAGGCAGTTAATAAGGTATATGGTTAATCTTTAGAGGTCATTATGAATATGTTTGTAGATAGACATTTTAAAACTTAGAAACACCTGACAAGTGTTACCTTATTAGTTGCTGACCATCCTTTCACTTACATCTTTCTCCTCGTATATAATCTAGTAAAACGAGGTGTCAACACATTAGGATCCCCAGAAGCCAACAAAGGTCATTAACATTTAATTTCCTTAACTTATCACTCTTATATCAATGTTTCATTTATTTTGATGTAAGATGTAGAAATTAGACAAATTCAAATTTACGACACGTTCCCAGTTGAATACGACCGACTGACCAGTCATTTTACGAATACTATTATTATTCCATCTTGAGATAAAATGAATTATTAGTTTTTTAAGTAATTTGAGTGTGGATTTATATTTGGAATATTTAATTGCCGTGAAAATGATGCCGAACAGAGATCAACTATTATATATAACATTTTTACTAACTTACTGAATATTAAAAACTGTGAGGAATGATTCTCGATGTTAATGAAGATTTAATTTAGGTCGAATTCTTGCCTGTAATTAATGAAAGTTATCAATTAATTAGATGGAATAATAGGTTCATAAGTAAATTACGTTCTAATGAAAACATCATATTAAACATGATCTAATCTTATTACATTCATTTCTTACTGGTTATGTTAATGTTTAGACTTTGTTTGAAACGAAAAGCACCTCCTGGATTTCACTGCTTGCTATCATTCATCTATGTTTAGTCCTATTGCATTTTATAACTATTGATTGCAGTTAATATAATAGACATTTACCAAATGACAGTTTTATTCATAAAATGTGAATAAATGGTATTATTTAGAGAATGAACATTAAATATAATTTGATTTAGAAATATCAATTTGAGGAAAGCAAACGTTATGATACAAAAAATCAATGCTAGAAATATTCTATGAAAGTTTGTTTTACGAACTATGTTAGTTATTAATAGTCCTGATTCCAGGTTTAAGACTATTAAAGGAACCTGATACTAAGAATCTACACAATTCTATGCATTAAATAGTACTTCTTTAAATAGACCATAATTTACTGGAGAGTCCAAATGTTACATATTTATTGTATATTATTTGAATCTTAAATTTTGTAGTTGGTAAGTTTATTCATTTTCATTCTACCAATGAGAGTTCAATATTAATGGAATTATATACACCACATCTCTTGTTCAAAGAATATCACTTGTGAAACACAATTCAATTCAACTGTAAAAAGGTCAATAATACAATTATTTTTGTATAAATAAAATCATACAGTGTTACTACAGCTAAGAAAGGACATAAGTCCTCCTGTGACAATCACAGAGGAATCAGTTTGACTAATTTAGTGTCTAAAATACTAGCCTCAATAATACTTCAACGCCTAATCAAAGCTCGTGAAGAGCAGATTAGAGAAAACCAGGCCGGTTTTCGACCTGGACGTGGTTGTATAGATCAGATATTCACACTACGTCAGGTTCTGGAACACAGACACACATTCAGACGCCCCACAATGGTAGTATTTCTCGACCTTAAGGCGGCATTCGACTCTGTTGATCGTGAGGTTCTATGGCAGTGTTTGTCACTGAAAGGAGTACCAAAGAAGTACATTAACCTTATAAAGGCTCTCTACTCGAACACAACTGGTAGAGTGAGAGCTTATGGCGAACTGTCATCAGAATTGATTACCTCAAGTGGTGTTCGTCAGGGCTGTCCACTCTCTTCATTCTTGTTCAACTTTTAGAGATAACACTCTCCTCATCTCAATTTCCAGGGGTTGAACTTCTACCGGGAGGTTCACTTGTTGACTTAGAATATGCAGATGACATAGTTTTATTTGGTGAAGACGCTGACAAAATGCAGAGTCTTCTGACCACTCTAAGCAACAATGCAAGCATGTTCGGGATGCGATTCTCTCCCTCGAAATGCAAAATGTTGCTTCAGGATTGGGTTACATCGACACCCGAACTAGTGATAGGGAGTGAAGTAGTTGAGTGTGTCGACCGCTTCACTTATCTTGGAAGTCTCATCAGCCCTTGTGGTCTGGTTTGTGACGAAATCTCAGCACGGATACAGAAGGCTCGACTAGCTTTTGCCAACTTGCGTCATTTATGGCGTAGGCGAGATATTCGTCTATCAACCAAAGGACGGGTTTACTGCGCAGCAGTTCGTTCCGTCCTTCTTTATGGCAGTGAAACATGGCCGGTAAGAGTAGAGGATATACGTAGGCTACTAGTATTCGATCATAGGTGTCTTCGAAACATTGCTCGTATATCATGGGACCATCGAGTAAGTAACACAGTTGTTAGGAAACGGGTACTAGGTAAGGATAGCAAATCAATTGATGAAGTAGTGAAACTTCATCAGTTGAGGTGGCTGGGACACGTGTTACGTATGTCCAACGACCGACTGCCTCGACGTGCTATGTTCAGTGGTATAGGAGTAGGTTAGAAGAAAGCTAGGGGCGGCCAGACCAAAACATGGCACAAGTCCGTGAAGTCACTGACAAGTGGACTGAGTCATGTTGGTAGGTGCAGACTACCTGGTTGGGGACCACGAGATGATAGCAACCGATGGTTAGAGACCCTGAATGACATGGCTCAAAATCGTTTGCAATGATGCAGGTGCATCCACTCTCTGTGTTCTCCCAAATTCTAATCTTCTGAATTCTTCATGTCCCTTTTTTCCTCTTTCCAAATTTATTTCACTGGATTATACTCTTTAAATAACATCTTCAAACCCTAATCTTCACGATTACTGCTTATACTCTTATTACCTTTACCGCCACGGGATTTGAATCGGCCACTACATCTCTGTGCTAATGTGGTGTGACAACTCAAATTGATGTACGTACGTACGAAGTTCTACGTTGTTACTGACTGACTGACTACAGCTAATAATTATTCGAGGTACAAAACCCATGGATTTTGTTTTTAAAAAGATTCAATATAGAATAATCGACTATTGAGTTAGGACTCCATGATAAAAGAGAGGAAAGTAAAAAAGTATTCAATCAACGGATGGAATAGATTAAATGACCATAAGCTTAATGGTGAGTAACTGTGACTTGTGAAGTCAAACAAATTGTTCATTAAAATTAAATTCTATTGGCTTTTAGTTTAGTGGTTTGTACATATCGTTCATACAGCAAAACTCAAAGCTTATCAGTTCATTTCTGTGTGGAACCGTGTGTGCTGCTGAGGATAATTTAGGTAGTCAGTTATGTGCAACCTAGAACCTGACGTATACATGCATCGGTCCAAGTTGTCACACTTTATCATCTTTTGCTTTACAAAAGATTAGGCACGGTTTTGAAAGAATGAATGAATGAGTGGATCAGAAAAATGTAAGATAATCTCAGGTTTCAACAACCAAGAGACGACAGAGTGAGATCATTTGAACCATTCTGACTGACTCTTAACCTATATCATCCAAAGTCTTCAACGGTCGGTCTTAGAAATAGAGTGGATCTTAACTTAATAGTCTGCAACTATTAACATGGCTCAGTCTCATTATCAACGGCTCCATGAAATTGTGCCATTTTCTGTTTTGACCGCTGTTAGCTTTCTTTCAACCTGCTTCTGGAGCAGCAAGTGTCACTTGTCGAGCTAAGAGGTATTTAGGTATACCTAATACAAGTTCCAACCACCTCAGCTGGTGAAGGTCCTCAACTTGGTCAGCCTATTTAGCCGCTCGCTAGTTCCCTGTGCCTAACCGCAACACTACTCGTTCGATCGTCCAACGGAACATGACCGATGTTTCGAAGTCATATATGTTCAAAAACCAGAAGCCTAGGCTTATCTATTACTATGTTTCACAATCATAAAATAATACCGAATGGGTTGTTAAGCAGTACATACATCCTTTAGTTGACAGATAAACATCTCGCCTCAGCCACGATTGATTCAAGTTAATAAGGCCAAACTATGCTTTCTGAATTCATGTCAAGAACGACTGAACTTCGCAGAATAAGTATTTTATGCATTCCTAGATAGAATTATTTTTTTAATTGAAACAAGGCTCTAGGTGGAAAATACAATGATTATCACCCGGTTAATTTGATTAACACGAAGTTCTATAAAATCTAAATATTCAATAGTATTTAAATGAAAGCATAAATAACTTACAGGAAAATCGGCTCGTTTAGTTTGATTGTCACATCCAAGAATATGCAACTGATGATTATCATGTAATGAATGGCACACACTGTCATAATCCATCGGATTTCGAATACTGTCCATAGTGTTTCGATTTATATCCTTACTACTACTGCTACTACTACCAACATTTCGGTTATTGTTTAATCTCGGTAAGCTAGAACAACTAATAGAATATGCCAAAGAATTTGTCAAAAAAAGAGTGAATTATATAAGTTCAATAAAAGTTGTAAGTAATGACTATGTTACATGGAATCATTATCAGACATTCATAGTAAACTTATATCAAATAGCTGCGCAATCAAATCAGTCAGCTGTTTAGATAACAAATTACGTTACTTTTCTGAATTCAAATCATATCATATTATTTTACAAAACTTACTACGAAGAACAAAACTTCCGGTTTTGATAGTAATAAACCACTTTCATGGTGTTGTATTCTCTGATCTAAACGGTTAAATTGTGAAGCGATTATTAAAGAAGAATTTAAATTACCGAAACCTGCGCATGAAGTGTATCCTTATTTATATAGACAAGCATAATAACCTCTTTAAGTCTGCTTCGATTCATATCTTTGATCACCCACACATAATCGTACTAAAAAGGTTGACAGAACCACTGAAAACTACTAGAAATCGATTTCGCATGCTTTCTTTGAATGATTCACTTGAAAGAAACGATTACATGATAGAATATTATTTTCAAGAATGAGACAGTGTAAACCCTTGATGTAAATCCTCTGTACATAGATATGCCTCTTAGGAAAACAATTAATATTCCATGTGACTATATCTCGTTAAGTGATCTTTTCTTGCCATTTCCTTTAAAAACTGTTAAATTCACTTTTAAAGGAAGCACTTTCGACAGATTGATGGTGCAACTATGGCTAGTCTTTTAGGGCCACTGCTAACCTGTGTTTAGTGTATACATCAGAATGGTAGGCTAGAAGTCAGTTCAAGAAAATTGACTTTAAAAGAGGTACCTGGATGGTATGATAATCACGAATAACAAACGTGAAGATGCAAACAGCTTGTTAAAAGAATTCACTATACATCAAAATTATATTAGTGTTACATGTGAGAAGGAGATGAATAATTAGTTTCTCTTCTTAGATATACTGGTTAGTAGAAGAGATAATGTTTTCTTCATACAGATGGTAAATAGAAACCCTACATAAACGGGGCAATATCTCAGTTTCCACAGTCGCTGTCCAGTCCATAAAAACCAAAGTAAATAAAGGGCTAATTCAATGAGACCGGTAACTTCAACGCTAGTGATATTAAAGAAGCAGTAAAGCTTTTAACTGAAATGTTGATTGAGACATGGTAATTCATTGAAGCCCATAAGTTGGGAAAAAGCCATTTTATGATTAGATCTACTAGGTTTTATGACCAGAAAATGTGCTGATACTGAAACGACTGTGGTTTTTCACCGTTGAATTCATGAATCGATCTAAGCTAGACCACCAATGAAAACCTGAAAGCACTGAACGATCCGATGGTTATCTAACTCAGATCGACTCATGAATTCAACTGTGAAAATACTACAATTTCCAGTAATCCCCATACTGTAGTCTCGTTTTACAGCTAACGATAAATTTCGAGGGCATGACAAATATTGAAAGAATAATGATTGGTTTATGTATTATAGAAATATATGCTCAATGTGTCCAAGTGCACACTAATTCATGCCTAATCATTTAAGGATATAGCATGGTGGAAGCAGATTATCTCTGACCTTGAACATTTTCGAACTTGAATCTAAACTGGCAATAGTGTGGTTACTGAAGCTCATCATTATTACTGAAAAAGAAACCCCTACACTGTTTATTGTCTTCCACATCCATCTTAAAACATTAGTGATAACGGATTATACCATTTCTAAAATTACTAATATTATTGGGCAACAGGTTTAAGGTGTCTAAGAGGGAAGTGGTGGACAGTTTTTTATTAATGCGGGGGTGGGTGTCATTCGCTCTGAATGATACAGTAATGTATAAGCGTTTTTATTCACACCCTCCCCCACATTAATAAATGGCCGTCCACTCCTCCCCTTTTTATGTGGCAGTTCACGCTAGCCTGAAGGTACCTAGCCTACTAGGGGATCATGCACAGTAGCGTACGACGCACAAAGTGCACTTACATTTAATAAACAAAGCAATAGATAACAATCAGTAATAACACAAACCTATTATTATGAAAATGTGGAAATCGGAAATGGTTTATTCCGTTATCACTAGTGTTTTAAGATGGATGTGGAAGACAATAAACAGTGTAGGGGTTTCTTTTTCAGTAATAATGATGAGCTTCAGTAACCACACTATTGCCAGTTTAGATTCAAGTTCGAAAATGTTCAAGGTCAGAGATAATCTGCTTCCACCATGCTATATCCTTAAATGATTAGGCATGAATTAGTGTGCACTTGGACACATTGAGCATATATTTCTATAATACATAAACCAATCATTATTCTTTCAATATTTGTCATGCCCTCGAAATAATCAGGTTTTTCAGACGACTTGAAAATACGTAGCTCACAAATAGATAGTTAGATAACAATCGAAAAACCACTAACCTTGAGTATTGCTTTTTCAATATACCCTTATTCGAAAGTGAAGAGTCCATCAACCACAACCCTACGTTTCTTGAATTGTAATGATCAGTTGATTTTCGATTAGATGAAAATTTATTGAAATGAATCTCTGGACGTAGAATATTACCTTATGAAGTGGTAAAAATAACGTAAATTACTAACATCATTAACCAAACAAGTATATATTGGCTAATTAGAGAAATGTTAATTTGAATAAGATTTAATTATACCACGCTTAATCTTATAGGTTTCAGTGGAAAATAAAAATATTTCTTAAATAAAAATGACAATATATGAGCACCTCAAAACTATTGGTCGTCATTGCTTCCTGAAAATGTGTTAATTTGGCTTGAGTTATTTCGAATTTGATTATGTCTTTGACAAAGGCCGATTGAGATTGCTGAGGTTAAAGTTGAATATACTACATTTCTAGGACGTTAAGGTACTTAAAAGTGTTATTTAAATCTAATCCGAATATAACATTTAATATGTACGCTAGGCTATTCGATCAAAACCTAGGGGAATATTTAGCTGACTGATTCACTATCCCACATTGGTATTGTTAAATAAGGCAATAGGTAGAAGGAATGTATATTTGTTGTGAGAAGTTGCATAGCATTTACATAATACACATACTTACTTACTTACTCACGCCTGTTACTCCCAATGGAGCATAGGCCGCTGACCAGCATTCTCCAACCCACTCTGTCCTGGGCCTTCTTTTCTAGTTCCATCCAATTCTTGTTCATTTTTCTCATGTCTATCTCCATTTCTCGGCGTAATGTGTTCTTTGGTTTTCCTCTTTTCCTTTGACCTTCAGGATTCCATGCGAGGGCTTGTCTTGTGACGCAGTTGGGTGCTTTCCTCAATGTGTGTTCTATCCACTTCCAGCGCTTCTTCCTGATTTCTTCCTCCGCTGGGATCTGGTTTGTTCTCTCCCACAGTACGTTGTTGCTAATAGTGTCCGGCCAATGGATCTGAAGTATTTTGCGTAGACAATTGTTAATAAACACCTGTATCCTGACCTTGGTGTTGGTGGACAGTTGTTTCGAGTTTCAGATGTTCTTCAGTTGTAAATATTCTGCTCTTGCTTTGCCGATCCACGCCTTCATATCTGCATCAGATCCACCCTGTTCATCAATGATGCTGCCCAAATACGTAAAGGTTTTTACATCTTCCAAATCTTCTCCGTCAATTGTGACTGGATTGATGCATTCTGTGTTGTATCGGAGAATCCTGCTTTTCCCTTTGTGTATATTGAGACCTACTGCTGCTGAGGCTGCTGCCACACTGTTCGTCTTCTCCTGCATCTGTTGTTGCGTTTGGGATAGAAAGGCCAGATCGTCTGCGAAGTCTAGATCATCCAACTGCATCTTAGATGTCCATTGTATCCCGCGCTTCCCTTCAGACGTTGACGTCTTCATGATCCAGTCGATCACCAGGAGAAAGAGAAACGGTGAGAGTAAGCAACCTTGCCTAACACCGGTCTTCACTTCGAACGACTTTGTCAACTGTCCTCCATGCACAATTTTGCAGTGTAATCCATCATATGAGTTCTGTATGATATTGACTATCTTCTGAGGCACGCCGTAGTGTCGAAGAAGTTTCCATAGTGTTGACATAATACACATACATAGCCTTTATTTATCCATTCGCATCTTTCGGTGGATTTAGCAATCTGAACTGTTTTCTTGTCTAATCTCCAAGTGTTCTGCTAACTTCATCGTCCGCTGTACTAAAACTCTTCATTCTGTCTGACAACTTAGAGGCCACATTCCGCAACATACTTCTTACAAGCAATCTTGTGAGTAACATCCACAGCAGTATAATATCAATACTGACCTACGGTTGGAGATGTTTAATAACGACAAATTTTATTTGCACCAGAAAAGATGTTTTACTAGGTTGTGGTACAACAATCGATCATCTCTTTTTCTTTAAAGAGAAGTGTTCTTCTTTGCTGTTGAATTGCGATATCAGATAATTGAACTCGAATGAGTAACTGAATACTTCGACAGGTTACATTCTAAGTTAGCTGAGTATATTATTATCATTGATATTGTTTTAATTGATAAAGTTAAATAGACAGAATCAGCTAGTCTTATTTTATCAAGTCCAGTTTGTGAAAAACAGTAAGCTGTTGGGAAAGTTTAATAGTTCTAAACAAATAATAAATCACGAAATATCAGGCGTATAATTTATATTATCAAATATTTTGAAAATTTTATTTGTCAAACTTATACATAGTAGATATTAAATATATGAGAATTAATTGAATAAGATATTTGAAAAACAAACCTTATTAAGTGAAATGAAGCTGAAAGAGGAAAAGGTGTCACGAAATCTACCAACAGTGTTGATCTTCCCCACTAAATTATCTTCTGATATGACATTAAAACTGAAGATGCCCTCTTAATTATAAATCAGGTTCCTTATAATCAACCAAAAAGATTACGTTTATTCTGTATAGATGAAGTAATTGATTTCAATCCAAAGAAATCCAACATATGTATATACAAAAGATAAACACAACCTTTCTGTTTACCTTCAACGATGTGTAGTTAACGAGAATTAAATTTTTAAGGGTTTGAGATTGTGTTTTGATTTATCGTTTCATCCTCTCCCACTAGATAAATCATAAAATTAGTTCCAGAATGTCGCTATTATGTATCGCCAACTGTTCGAATTGTCAAACTATCAAGTCCATTTAACTTTCATGACTACTTCTACCTAATAGGCAGTCTTGAAACATCTGGAGCATATATCTTCGAGTTCGAAGGCGAAGCGCAGACGCACAGTAATGCAAACAGTAAACCCGAGCACTATTTCTTATCACAGTATGAGATAAATATTGCTAGTTGCTTTTCAGATGCCACAGATAGTAAATCTACCTACAAGTATAGCAAGGAAAGAATACTACCTCGCCAGTTAGTAGGACTAGTGCATTAACGAAGATTGTGTCAGAAGCATTCAGATTTATAAGTAGCCGAAATGCCAACGTGAATGGAATATTTTTAGTATTTTGCTGGTACAAAGTTTTGTCTGGTGTCAGCTTAGTGACGGCCGCCCCAGCATAAGCAGTCTGTTATCTGCTGATTTCCCAGTAGCTCACCGTAATTTTTACAGAATCTGCATCAAACATAACGTCCTGAAGTTCGTGATTTCACATCATGTGAACATGCTTTCTTTGGAGGACGTTTCAACTGTTTCTTAAAGTGCACTAAGAGTGCTGAATGGTAGAAATGTCTATAGTATATTAGTACCATTTCTAGATTCCATCTTTATTCGAATAAAATTCAGAGGGAAAATTCCGCTTCTTCCCGTTATCTTGAAAATGTAACCGATTGACGAAAAAGGAAAAATGGATTCAAGCTTTTCTGCCACACGCTTAGCTACTTATGCAGGTAACGACCAATTTTGTTAATGCCATCCACAGGGTTATGAGTATGTACAAATCGAAAATCCTCTTTTCTACGTTGTGCTGTATTTGTTCCTGTACAGTTGCCACTGGTTTCAAACAAAAATGTCTCTGAGAAAGTGATTATCCGTCACACATCGGATTTGCAAGATTTACGGAGAATGTTTTTCTCTGTCCTTATTATGAATGTTTAATTAGATAAAAATTTCTAATTAACTTTTTACAATACTTCTAATTTCTTTGTATGATATATAGACACCAATCGAATAATTAGATTGGCTTGTAACGAAAATACGTGGTGTGATAGTGATTATCCAGATTTAAAAATTCGATAAGTTGTGTAATCACCATTATACAACATTCACGGAGTTTACATAAATGAAAGGATTCAGTTGGTGAAAATCAAAAATTAGTGAAGACAAATGGAAAGGGATTTAAATTAAAAATAAAAAATGATTAATTAATGACGACAGTAGTAATACGTTACTTTATTCAACTATATTTGAAATAACTCTTCTTATAAATGTTTTAAACCTGCAATTGAGAGAATATTTGGTTACTAAACTAACTTAGCTTTTAATTATATGCTCTGTAATGCAAATGTGTGAATCGAGTAGATTCTTTTGAATACTTTCTAATTACATTCTACAATTACATATCCGAATTAGTAATTCAAATGAACAGTAAACTTTGAGATAACGTTAAACTAACATTCTATAAAAATATTCAGTCAACTCTTTTATTATATATTCTGTAATCTGGGAACCGTTTGTTGACATATTTTCAGTCTGTACAAATAACCATTTTAATTTCAATCCCTGAAAGTGTCTTCCGTGAAGTTAGTAACTTATTATTTTAAAGCATTTCGTCCAACAGTTCTTATCAAATCAATATAGTTATTATAATTTAGTAAATATGTTTGATGTAGTAATTACATTCGTAATATGCATTGTGAAATTATAAATACTTATACTGTTATGCAAAATCATCACGACGTAGTAGCTGACCTTTACAGTTTCCCGTACTTAATAGTGTAAATGATAATTTAATTACATTTTAAAATAACGATATCTAGATGTCTGAATTATTTTTATAAATTAACGATGTTACTTAAAGTACTAATGTTTTGTGCTACAAGCAACAATCTCTACGTACATAATTTTTGAAAAATTTGCTTTATCTAATAGCACAGAAAAAGATCTAATTGACCTGCTTAATAATCTATGTACAGTTCACTCATAACGAAGTTTACACAATGTATCTAATCATTTATGACTAGTTATGTTCATATACAAGTTGATCTAATTAAGATTCAAATGAGAAAAGTCATTAGTATCACTTAACTGTTTATCAATGAACCTAACTGGAAGAAAGATGATGACTTCAAAGCCCTACCTACTCAGTGTATTTTGTTATAGTATATGCTATTTGTTAACAACAATCTTTAATTCTACGTAGTTGAAATGGCATTGAAAATCTACTGATTAACTTCTATATTGAGAGTTAAGTGTAATATTTAAAAAGATTATTACATGGTAACAGGGAATTTATAGATCCATATAACGTAGTATTGTTTCATTTGCAGCAAAAATACTGACCATCAGATCAATAGTGTATAAATATAATGTCAAGTTCATTCCACCTTCAATGTGACTTATATACTAACTTCCAAGAAATTTTGCTTATGCTCCATTATTTATTCAGCTCTCTTATTTTATATTATGTTCTTACCAATAATTACTCTCAATATCATCATTATTTTTATTATCTTAACAAGTGTGACACAACAATTCCTATTTTATATTCCCTTGTTCTTACATACAGTTTGATTTCATTGATTAGAACTTATCACTTTAAAGAAGAAACGAATCGAGCGAAGAAATTTCTTTTCAATTAGTTTTTCATAATGGCTCTATATATATATATATATATATATATATATATATATATATATATATATATATATATATATATAAATTACTCGATGTTAATTTATGATCGAAATGTCATTGTGTAATTATTACGTAACATACCCGCTCGACGAGTATTATTTGATTATTGTATATCATATATATATAATCCGTGTCAGGTAGAAACAAGTGTCTACTTCAGTACAATGGAAGATGGTCGCGCAACTTCGTGCATTGGTTAAAATTAGACATTAACACCATTGAATGCCGGCTCAGTGGTCCACTAGGTTAAGCGTTCGCGTGCGAGATTGAAGGCCCTGAGTTCGAGTCCCGCGAGCGGGGTCGTGAATGCGCACTGCTGAGGAGTCCCACAACAGGACGAAACAACCGTCTAGTTCTTCCAGGTTTTCAATGGTGGTCTAACATCAATCGGTTCATGATCTCAATCAATATATACATATATATTAGTGTAGAGCCATGATGAAAAACTAATTGAAAAGAAATTTCTTCGTTCGATTCGTTTCTTCGCTATTTACCAAATGTCGAAATGGGAATTTTCATTATCACTTTAATTAAGGCAGATAATTTTTCGTATTCTTTATGTATGACATTATCAATGAAGCTATTTTACATTATGAGAAGTTTAGCATTTTCGATTTACAAAACAAGTTTTGACACAATAATAATCATAATAATCTTTAGTTTATAACTGTAGAGCCTAATAAAGAATTTATGAAGAACTATTGTTCACTTTAATACTCATTGCTTAAAACTAGTATAATTATGAAAATCACTAAGATTTTATGAAGAACTACGGTTAGCATTAACAAATAGGGAATTCAATTCTTTTCTAATTAATTAACTTAATTCATTTTTCAGCATTAACTTTAATGATCCGATTTGTTTGTTTGTTTTTCTCTGTTAATTATCAGTTTATTATTATAGTTTTTTTTAATACTTATAATTGCGACAAATATTGATAACAAAAGTAACTTTGATTATTCCGCTTATATAAAAGACAACTAAATTAGTAATTGTGTCTTCTCATATATTTTATATATCATAGTTAATTAATAACTTTTTTCTTAAAAAAGATTCCACTGTCTGGAATAGTTAAGGTAACTAATTTTTTATGACACGTTCCCCCACCAATAAACAGAAATATTGCGAGCATTTGCTTCAATATTTATATGTATCATAGAAAATTAAACTACATAAAATCACATTTAGTATTAGTTAATCAATATATAGAAGGTAGATATTATAAACATTTTGCTAACATTATTTAGTTTGAATACAAACAAAGAAAGTCCTCTAACAAATGAAATTAACTTACCTGTAGTTTTTAAACCATCTGACCTACTCCAGGCAAACGTATCTTTGAAAGGTTCAAATGTTGGAGGTGCAGTTAGTTGTGGTATAGGCTTAGCCCCCCAGTACCGCCATTCTGGACGATTCATAGGCTTAACTTGGTCTTTAACCCATTTAATATACATTTTACCATATTGCAGTTCTGGATCTATATATGTTGCAACATCTTTCACCTGTTTGTATATTCTGCAGGCTAATCAAAAGAAAGAATAATAGTTAGTGAGAACCAGAAATATCTTTGAACTGAGCTACAACCGAAACGTGGCGTCCGTCCACCAACTTACTGATTGAATATCTCGGATGTGTGGCGATACACAGACCTCATGGTTGGAGTCTACGAGATAACTGCAATCAGTGATCGGATACTTTGAATAATAAGGCTCAGAAACAGTCACAATGGTGAACATGTATTCACTCTTTGTACTTCTCGAGATCCTCAGTTTCAGTATTTCTTCGTATTTACTTTCTACTTCACCTTTTCAAATCATACATTCAAATGTCAGTTTTTCTTATTATCAGTATCACTCTCACTACATTATTTCAATTATTTTGCCATTGATCTTTTTAAACTCATCTTGTTCTGTTAATATGATATGGGAACTTGTGCCAACGCAAATATTTGTCGGGCTCTATTTTGTTTTTGACTGACTGATAATGAAATCAATGTGCTGTACTCTTCCTTGCCTAAACATCGATTCCAATGCTCAGAAGTGAGTAAAGATTGAAAAATTAACAGATCCATAAACTGAATAAATTATTCAATCATGTAATTAAAAGTGAACAGATTTAAGGTGGTGGAATTAAATAAGTCACTAATGAATTTTAGACAAAAATTGATTGGAGTCAAGAATATCTTAACTGTATCATATTAATCACGATAACTGTAGTAAAATGGCTTGTCTCAAACTAAAATTAAACAAGTACTGATCGATTCTTGGCTTTTCAATGGTTTAATGGGAGTCAGTTCACTCATTTTTTTAATATGCACAAATTACATGATTTCACATCATTCATTTGGTTTTCTATAGAAAAGTGAATTCACTTACTTTATTTTCTAGTCTGGCACAATTTTTTTCACTATCATTACGGTTTTTATCAATGCAATCAGTATTACTATTAAAAATTTATTTATTCATGAATTAGCGTGAAATCCATATTAAAAGGATTGCAAAAATAACAGAAGAGACAGTAGTCAAAGGAATGATAAAATACCTTATGGTATTCAAGTAAACGAAAGTGAGGATACCTAACAACCACACAAGTCAGATATAAAAAAAACTAACTGGTGTGTGTATGCGTGAAAATGAGTGATAAAGTATTCCTTGTCTCAACAATCAGTAAACAGGGAAATGAATGTTGATTGAAACCTAAAATAACAATTGGATAATTTGCTTTCTTTCCTTTTTTTATTGTTCAGTTGAGTGACTGATTAATTGGTTGAATATTAATTGTCTGTAATATTTCCAATGTCGTATTTTAGTTTCTCTTTATACAGATCCTGGACCATGACAAATTATTTTACATTTCTCTTATTTTCGGCTGTATTTGTAAGTCTATATATTTAGATTTTGATCCACTTTTACTTTTAGTGTAGGGTTGTGAAAATTGTCTAGTTTTATTGAAATAATGAATCTATCAACGTTATACTATCATTCAAAATCTCAAAGATGGTCAAGCAATACCATGGACTGATTGAAGTAAGACTTTAACACCGTTGGATAACGGCTCTGTAGTTTAGAGATCAGAAGTTCGCGCGCGAGACCGAAGGCCCTGGGTTCTATTCCCGCTTGCGAGGTCGTGGATGAGCACCGCTGGAGAGTCCTGTACTAGCATGAAAGGACCGTCCAGTGCTTTCAGAATTTTAATGGTGTTCTAACACTGATCGGTTCATGATTTCAATGAAACAGTTCTACTTTGATGTTCATGTTCAACAATTTGGATTATTAGCTAGTTTTTATTAAAATAACACATTGTGCTATTGAATAAAAATTTAAAAAATCCAGCCAATTTTGACGAAGTAATTTCAAAAATCAAAAGAAGGTTGAGTGATGATCAAGAGGTTGAAGAAAAATATAAAGGGGTTAAGAGTAATTTCCGAATAAGAAATACGATAATTAATTTTCCACATAACAGTATGAAGAGACAATGAATAACTTCATGATGTAATCTCCCCCCTACAGACTAACATAATTATCTCAATCACTGAGGTTAACTTACCAACACCATCCTTTATCACATATTCCCGCCTGCTGCTTTTATTTCCACACCCAACCTCCATAGGTGGACACGCGCCCTACACTGTCCCACACAGAGCAATTGTCTACCCGGTTGCCACCCTCTCGTTGTCTCAGCGCCGTTGCTAGTACCGCACACAATCTCCGCCGAGCGCAACCCATCAATTCCAATGAGCCTAGTCGTTGCACCCCACCAACTTCCCAAAGTCCATCGGGTCTACATTCCTGCTCCTACCCCATAAGCTCCCAACCACGAACCTCCATGCCCCCCACCCCCCACCATGTTCCCGGCATTGCGCCCACTTCCAACGGGATACGATTCCCCCCGCCAGAACCCACAACACTATATTCCCGACTCCATTCCCGCCACTTATAATACCATCGCGCAACATTCACTTACTACTACTATCCCTACCTCACCTTTCGCCTCTCGACACCCCATGAACCCTATGTTCTGTGCCATTTGTTGATCATCCTCCGTACCCTCCTACCGCCAACCCCTGCTCAACCCAGACTTTGTAAAGTCCCCCCCCACCACTCAAATCCCCTAAACTCCTACGACCCTCCCCCCACCATACCCCTTCTACGATCCAACGGTACCCAACACCCTCCCCGCGCCGCCATACAATGATACGCCCCGCCCCCACTTCCCCAAGCACAGCTTATCATAACCCTAACGATGCCACTCGCGCAACTTTGTAGCCATCTAGAGCAGTATTATTAGCTCGTTACACGACGCTCAAATAATTGTCTGATTAGTCATGGGTGCACACTCATAGCACCTCACCCCGCCGCATAAACACACACTAGTCACGTACCAACCGCGTATGAACGTCCGACGACTCCTTTCGATGCATCACAACTTTTTCTCTCTACAAATCGACTTGCAATATCTGAATGAAAATCATGAAATGCTTCAGACAAGATATTTGACTCTGACTTGCAGCTTTTCTTTCTTTGATGATTACTACTGCTACCACCTTCGTCCATACTTGAAGCATAATCTGAATCAATAAATTCACTCTTCAACTGGTCCAATTGATCTTTAGTATATGCATAATTCATCTTCGTTTCTCCATTATCATTATTAGTGTAGTTGTTTTTGCTAATAACACCACCGACAGAAAATGGAGCTAACTGATTGAATGGTCGTAATATATTTTCATTTGATTTGACCATCCCAGTGTTTGGTATTTCTGCACTGTTTGTTAATCTAGTAGTATTGGTACCATTTGGGAAAGTGCAACCTGTTTGTGCATCTGAAATATTTGTTTCTTCGGTGGGAGTAAATTCCCACTGGATTTTACTTGATAAGAAATTCTTTTGAAATAAATCATTAGGTATCCATATAGCGGTGTTGAATGGAATTTTAAAATTGGTACTTGGAATCGTTTCACTATTTCCTTGTTTGACAAATTCCACCATTACAGGTTTATCTGACACTGTGAATCCCAAAATACATTTAAGAAAATCAAAAATACAATATGTTGTTATGCAGTCGAAAATGGATTAAAATATTAAACAACAGATATCCTAACTTACAAAATAGGTGGAACTAAAGCATATGGATGAAGCAGTTAAATTCAAGATAACGCCTAAAGGGTTTTTGTGCACAATTTATTCATTTATATGTTTATAAGAGCATTCTACCATTACGGTTGATGTTGGTTCATGATGAAAACCCTAACCATTATTTCTTATCCTAACTGTTAATTCTAATTCGTAGACCGAATTCGAGATATCTCATGGTCAATTTAGAACCATCTAGTATCATCCATATACTACTTTGATTATGGACCCCTGTGCACCCTTGCCACACCACACGCTCGACTAACCAACCCAACACGAACATCCGCAACTTCACTTCTAAACACCAACCCCCCGCCCCCAGCAAACACACTCCGCACTTCCCACATCCGTGGTTTGCCTTTGTCCCGATTATAAAATAACTTAACCCCCCCCACATTATATACTGGTAAAACCTAGCCACACACCCACCGGCCAAACCGACCCTCCCCCCACCACAGTCCCGACCCCATACGCAGCCGTCCTTCATGACCTTCGAACACACTCCTACCAGACCTCGGGAGGTACATTTCCAAACTGCACCTTTCTATCCCCTTTATACATCACACCTTTTTCCGGCGAGGCGGGTCATTTATTGTGAATATATTATCGATAAAGCTTCTACCAGCAAATCTATGAGCCTTCCCACACGACACAATTCCACTCGTTTGCCCACCCCTCGCGTATTGTCCGTGCTTTCCCCCTATCAACCTCGCACTCAACCACCCGCCCTCCCATACCATATCCAGTTAACTAGACACCACCCCCAAGTACCCAATAAACCCCCTTCATCCCCCGCTAGAAAAATCTACTAAGCAACTGACATCCACCGACACCCTCCACCCCACCCCCCCGATACACCACCGACTCCCCTCTGCCCCACGTACCCACGCACCACAACGCACCGAACACGACCACACCACCTACCCCCCCCTCCACTCTCCGCCCCCACAAAGTCTAGAGTGCCCACGAATCCCATAACCACAAACCATCGCCCCGTCTATCTTTATATCGCAACGATGCAGGCCAACCACCTATTGAACTCCTGTCGTGGCGATGCACCTGGAACTACATCACACCGACCACATTCCTTTATTCATAGCCCCGGAGCCTTCTCCCTTACGCCACCTCCTCTCCGCACCATGTCCCCGATCGGCACACTCTCCTACCCCCTCGAGCCACCTCAGATCCCCACCATTGAGCCATTAACAGTACCTACAACATCCCCTACTCCGATCCGCTTGCAAGTTGCAGTTATCTCGTAGACTCCAACCATGAGGTCTGTACATGCACTTATGACTTCATAGAGTGATACTACAGTTTATTGCATCGTGAGCAATTTTCCCTAAGAATAGTGGTAAGAGATCGCAACATTCCAAACATTGTCCAAACAAGTGAAATATCAACATTATTGAGGAATGTAACTCATGAATAAAATCTTATTGTTCATTTATATTTATCTTAAAGGGGTTCTAAGATAGTTATGATAATACAGGTGGTTATTCAACAACGTTTGTTTGATTTTTCCAAGCAAAACTCAATCTCATAACGATGAAAGTTATACTCGTTCTTAATTTTTGCAAACAGTCTACCAAAGATTATTTTATAGGTAAAATATTCTTTAAAATTTTGGAAAGTTACTAGTTCTTACACAAAGTAATTTGAATGCTATCGACCGAGCTCAAATTATTCCAATTGTTTTCACAGATTTAGTAGAGTGAATGCAACTATTTAAATCTGAGGCATAACATTTAGTAACGCACTGGTGAAAAAGCCGGTTCATGTAAACTTTCGATACGCAGAGGCACAGTGAAATTATCATACACCTCAGAATTACCACAACCCTTTCAACTATGTGAAAAAAATTATTTCCCTATATGCTGGAAAAATTAATAAACGGAAAAAAGTAGATAACTATAAAACAGTAACCATTCTACATGACGGCTGATAAACATTGTTGCAATCAATGTCATTCCAATCTAGAGCTGAACTTCGATATTTTAACAAGGGATGTGCTATCTCAATATTCAAATTCTTCAGTGACCTAATAGGATTTTATTAACAGGGAAGTTTATGCTCATTCTCTTTTTATTCGTTTAATAAAGATTAATATATGTATTGGTTGTCCTTGTGAGTTTTCAGTTGAAATGTTTGGTAGTACAGTTCATTTCCTATCATACTGGAAAAATGTATACAATTATGCGTATAAGACGTTATTTGTTAGGGAATATTTTAACTGTATAGTTTCAAAATGTCTCACATGAATGAAACTAATTCGATGTATATATTACGGAATAAAAATAGCTCTACCTATTAATCTGTTATACATTTAAACCAAAGTTTGTAGATTTTCAATGGTTACTTTCAATAATTAGATGAAGACAAGTCACTCTAGGCTTATACGGTTATTTATCAGATGAGTTAAATGTTTCCTTATGAAAAAGAAAAAAAGAATCACCACAAAATGGAAATTACCGTTTCTAATCGATGAACGCGATTCATAACCAGATAAAACTTTCGCAACATAATAAGGAATAAGATAATGCTTTTGTGAATGATTCAATTCCTTGCAATTAGATATACACTGAGGTACAAGAACAAAATCTCCTGCATCAACAGGGTGACGATGAAAATCCAAATATGATAGTAGTTCATGTACATGAGTTTCTTGAATATTTTCACGATGTTTTATTTTTGAATTAGGGTCTTCAAAGCAGATAATAAACGTGCAGTAATCTACCTATAAATTGTATAAAAGCAATTAGTTTGAGGAAATTATGAGAACCTACTAAGAATATCAGTATACAATACATTTACTATCAGTTTGTCGTTTAGTTTATTTTAACATGTAAATGAATTGCAGTCATGAAAAATTATTCTACAGCGGTAATGATTCGACTTCCTCAGTGTTGTGCATGAAAGACGTCCCTTTTCAATTACTTCTGTTTGGTTAGCCGTGTAGTATCAAAAGCATTCACACGAACTTTTTTCTTAAAGCTAAGCTCATAAATGTGTACTTGACAAATAAATTACTATTACCACTATCCTCAATATTGCAATGTTTGGTATCTGGTGTTGAGTAACTTAAAATGAAAAATTAAGATTTGGTGAACTTAACATGATGCTATTCATTAAAGACTAGGAATTTGAAATGCAAAGTCTAAACAATGAATATCAAACCACACGCAAGAATTTACCTGTGAAAGTACAGTACCCATAAATAACCGACTACCCTCGTTATACTTTGGAGCCAAAACAGTATGACCCAGAAGTAAAGCACCAGCTGAAGGAGCTATTCGAATATCATCAGCCCACCAATCAAGTTGTGAGCGACCATTTATGAAAGATCTATCATGAATGATAAAAATCACTGTATTACTGAAATATAATATTTCATATAAAATAAAACTAGGACGAACAACCTTGTTACCAGCCTATCTCAGGGCAGACTCTCTGGAGTTGTTCTTCAGCTTAAAATTTTAATATTCGAAAGCTTTAAAAGTGTAAATAGTGTTACTTGAAAACTAATTAAATTTTTTTAATTGTCAAAAATATTGAACATTTAAAGAGAATGAAATTCTTTTACGTATCATTTATATCAAATAGTAACGTTAGTCAGACGATCATTGAAAATTAAGGGCAATCAGACGTCTGTTTCTTCTTGGAATGGGTCCCTGAAGCTTTACGCACCTAATATTTTATCCAGGATCAAACTCAAGGTATTCATACCACGTGACGAGTGCACAATATTTTAACTGCTTAGTCGTGATTTAATGTTTTGCGTTTCTAACTACCAATGGCTGACAATATTTACAAACATTGATTGCTTGACGCCCAACATGCTTGAATCACATTGATCATGGGACGCTTCATTTGAATTTAGTCACTAGTAAGTACATAATCGTATTTTAGTATGCAAGGTTGTTGAGATTTTTGAACTTTGTATTCTCATATCTATCTGTGATAACACAGTTAAGCTGCTTAGAGTGAAAAAGAACACAACAAATAATATAGTTAGTTCGGCGAATATAAAGTTATCAAAGCATGATAATATATATTACATTAAATACTTGTTACAAACTGCAACTGTAAAAGAAAAGTGTATTCACCTAGCGACACGATATCTGCTTCGTTTGAATTTATTACCAGCATGTTCCTCTGAACATTCATATGCAAGACACGAATTGCACATACAGTTATGATTATGACCTTCACCATACATTGTATGAGATGAAGAGGTAATAAACTGGTTTGAATCTGTTGTAGTTACTTCTTCTGACGTGCCAGAAATTGTCTGAGTTTGACAGTCATTCATTTCAAGCAATTTACTTCTTTGAACTTGCTGTTCATTAATCTTAGGGAGGTGAATGGAACTGTCTGTTAATAGTTTTTCACTTGAAGGGTTCGAAACTTGACAAGCACTATCTTTAAGCAATAAATAAATGTAAAAGGAATTTGTTTTAAGCAGAAGTGTGCATTCCTTAATACATATCTTCTAAAAAGAACTGGGGTTTTCGCTTATCTTGTTTCTGTTTATTTTGGCTAAAAGGGTATTAATAGAAAAATATGACCAAGTACAATTGACCACTGATGAAAGTCTTTAAATCTTTTGATAACATAATGAATGTGGATCAGATACCAAAGAAACAAATAACTAAAAATAACATCTATGTCGCTGATATCAATTTCAAGCCATTTTTATGTAGATTTGTGGGTTAGCACAGTTGAAGAATTCTAAAATAAGAGGAAACACTGTTCAAGTGCATGTTGATTTCAATAATTCTTCAACTAATATCACTTTTAATAATCGACTGGAACGACGGCGAAAGATAAATTTAAGTTATGGGGTTTTCTGAGCAAATATTCCGATCTATCAATATTTTTATTTCAATAAACCATAACAACGTGGAACTGTTAAATTTTACTCAAAACTCTCTTCATTTTTTGTTTATAACATTTCGTCTTTCTTTCTCCATCAAGACACCAGTGAAGGTACTCACATACATAATTCTAATGTTATTTCAGTGTATAAATGGTTTATTTTATAAAGTGAATCGGTCTTGTATGCTAAAAATGAAAGAAATCAAATATAACTGAAGAAAACAGTGTTATTTTATGCTACGAGAGTAGTTGGCATTCGAAGTCGTTTAATCGATTTCCTTAAACTTGGTTAATTATCCCTCAACTAATACAAGAAAGAGTTGTAAAAGATTAGATGATGGATTATCGAGCAGAACCGTTTCGCTAAAATGAACAATCGTACTCAAAGTCCTTTGAAGTTAAAAATAGAACAGGATATAAAATTTCATTCTAGCGAACTTTTTTAACTGATTAATAAAGTTACATTCATGAAATCTCATTTGATCTTACAATAAACATCATACTATCAAGTAATATGATTTCACTTCATTAGAAATAAGGCTTGAAACCAATTCTGATATAATTGAGTATTTTTGCTAGGTAATATATCTTTCATAGTTAACTCCTATAAATTACTTGTTTTCCTTTTGTTAGCAAGGACAACTTCATATATACATAGGCAAGTTTATCATAATAAAATATTAGCAATTTATAACCTGAATATGCATGCTGAAATAGTAGTTTAAACCAGAAAGTTCTAAATTTTATATATGACAATGCGGAAAATAAATATCAGCTGTTAAGTAATCATGTTACACATCTAAAAACAAATGTAGAACGGTAAAAATCCTTGAAAATGGGCATTTATTTAATAAATAACAACCTTTAAAGAAATTTACGTTATATTTACGAAGACAGTGTAATGTTTAACTATGACAACAAGTTATCGGTATAAATCAGTTACTCTGGGAAACGTAAATAGTTATGACCTAAGAGTCATATTCAGTTAAAAAGATACTATTTTATGACTCTTTTGATGAATAAGATAGACTAAAAATTTATTAAGGTCAGTGAGAAAGATTGGATCACATAATATTAGAAAATTCAAATTTATCGTTGACAATCATATTAAATTGTGAATGGGTACTGCTGAGATTTCCCTAACTAAGGGTTATGTCTGCCTGGGTTTTCTTTTGTCTTCTTAAACTGATACTACCCATGACAAAAGCCATCCTTATTTCTATTAAAATCAAATAAGATTATCACCTTAATTAAGCTTAAGATTTTGGCATGGACAAGGCTTTAAAGGTGAGTGTTGACAGATATCTAAACGCTTAATACTTCATGTTACTTTGCCCAACAGGTTTTTACTGCTTTATTTTGATAAGATTGAATCATATATAATGGGTAGACCGATCGGTTAGTCAAACCATAACAGCAATTATTTGCGTTTTTTGTCTTTTTCGAAATAACTATTTATTTTTAATACTGTTGTTTTTAGTAACGTTAATTTAACTCTTTTTGGTATTATATCTCTTAGTGTATAAAAGTACGTTAACTACGGAACTGTTTCATAAAGTATTGTAGTCGATGAGGATAAGTCCATGCTAAACTGCCACTTGTATGTCCTTTCCTGAGTCACTGAATATGGACAACAGCATTTCTTTGTTTAATCAGTTATCTTGTTTCAATATTGACTGTGATAACTGGTTTGGCTAACGTAACTTCCTAAATATTCATACAGTGATCTGTTTATTTATTTATTTACCTGCAAATACTCTGACAAGTTTGCGATTACTAGACAGGATTACAGATTTCATCCCCACCATAACCGAGGACGACATACGTAGTTACCGGCCATCAAATATAAATTGCATATCTTTAGATACATTTCTTCACACGATGCCGCTTAAACACAAACATTCAAAATATATTCAACATCTTACTGCATTGCTGTTTTGTGGCGTTGTATTAAACAATACTTATACTTGATTATTTTCTTGAGGAAGCTCGGACGAGACTGACGGATCAAACTTTAAAATGATTCGATTCAATCACCAAGATTTAGACAAATTTATTTTTTTGAATTGATATACATTTATGGAGAATGCTTGAAGTGTACGAATAGATGCAATTGCCAAAAACCAGGAATACCAACTTTTAAAAAGTATTTTCTTACTGAACCTTAAAATTTCTGTGTTAACGATATCGCTCTTTCACTAATATGAAACAATTAGAAATAAAATGGCTTGAAACTCGACTTTTAACTACGTTGAATCTACATACACGATCAGGTAAATGTGTAAAATGGAGCCGTAGAATGACAGAACCGGAGCAGTTTCGCTATACATTGAAAAATGAGAATTTCCACAAGCTAATAGGACACCTTTTATCCATGACTGGTTCATGGGCGAAATAACTGATAAATGTTGTCAAGTGCTTTATCCATAGTTTTCGTATTAAAAATAGTTTTTAACGTTATGTCGATTACATGGATGACTACAGATCCAGACACATAGATACGCTTCCCTTTTGTGTGACTGCTTTTCTAAGCGAGCGACATTTATAACATGTTTATTTCAATATTCGTGTTATATACTTGCCCCTTACCGATCGTTATTTCCTACAGAACCCTATGGTCCCCAACATGATTATGAATTGAAGACTCTTAGAAGCTTATCGTATTTTTTAGGTGATTACTGAATTTAGTTGTTTTCTAGAGTACTAATCAGTAATACGTCTTAAATGTACAGTGTCACTTCGGAATATCAAAGTATTGTCAACTTTTGAAGATATCTGAATTAATATGAAAACTTTTCATTAGAACTACGGGTCGAGCTGAATAACGTTGTAGAATAAGTATTCATTGTAATTTTATTTTCGTCTAAGAAACTCTCGTGAAGATAGTGCATTTATACTGAAGAATCATAGATGAACAAACGCCACTTCAAAAATTATTAGGAAGTAAATAGATTTTCCTTGTATGAATGAAGTTTCTAGATTATGATCATATCATGTCTTTGATTTCAGTGGTTTTTTGAAATCAAAATGGGATGATTATTTATCAAACCTTGTCCGTATTTCTTTAAAAATGTGGGTGAAACTGAGGTGAAAGAATACTTTTTGTCACAAGTCTTTTAATGCTCTGAATTAAAGATCCAGTGGGTCGTTAGTTATCAGGATATGTTTATCGAACATGTACTTAATCTACATTTACTTATAACAATAAGTTTAGTGTATTTGTGAGATCACGCCACAGTCAACGATCTCTAAACAGTAGCTCATATATATGGATTATTATAAGGGATTTTATCCTCATGTGCTCAGAGGTTCAAGTACGCTATATCATCATTTCAGTAAAAATTATATACAAACATCATTCAGAAACTCTGCTATCTACTTACTGTTTCGTCAGTCGTTCATTAGCTACAATATTGAGCTTACTTGCTAATTATAGATGTACAAAACTGAGTGATTGCAGAGTAATCATTTTTATTATGTCAGAAATGTACATAAAGGGGTTTGTTCAATTAAACAATCACATAGTACATAATCTGTTCAAGTTAATAAACTACTAACTAGCTAAACAGTAAATATCCAATTTCGCATAAATAAAAACCCTGATTCAGTTGATGGACAAGTGATTATAACAAAAATAAGACTGAATTAGGATGGTTAAGAAATTCGTTGTACCAGGAAATATTTGCTTTTAAAGCTTTTTAGAAGGATCTGAAATCAGTTACACACATCAGTACAAACTTATGGCAAATCGAAAAAGTCAAATAAACCTACATACATTTAGCATCATTATTAAATCTGATAAACGAGACGTACCATTGGTTAAAACAGTTTTGTAACACATAAAATAAGCTTATAAACTCCAAAGAGATACTATACATTGCACAAGAGATCCTTTTTAAGCTCTTAGAGCCTGAAAGACATCAATTTTTGTTAACATTTATAAATTATTGAAAGTTGTTAACCACATCTATTTAATTTCGTTACACAATTTAGGCGGTCTTAGCTTGACATCAGACAGAGAACACATCTAACGAGATAATATCGGGAGATATCGGACCAAAATATTGCATCAATTATTGACTGCTATTCTACGCTTAGTGATGCAACGTTACACTGAAATAACCACGATTAGTGGATAATGACTAGCAAGTGATAAGAATCGGGATGGAATGGAATTTTGTTGATGTGTTTATTACTTATCTCTGTCTGGATCATAAACATTATCATCATATACTTCTTGTTCCCTTTCATTTCTTTTTCTTTCTTATTTTATTTCCTACTAATGGGAATACTTTTACTACTAGTGGTTCCCTCCAATTCTTTTAAACTCTTCTTGCTGTACTTGTGTGAACTGTACCAGCATAGACTTATACGCTAATTATCCACGTGCTACTTAATTCGTGTCTCATTATCTGTAGGTCTAGAAAAATACTGTCAATGTCAGAAAAGTGCAAACAACCAGTTGCACATTGTGATTTGTGGTGGTTGTTAGATTTCAATTAAGTCATGAACTGATCTAAATTAGGCCACTAGGTAAATTTACTCAGAAATTTCATGCATTCCCGAATACTATAAGGCTAATAATTTGTTCAAAAGTACGAAAACAATGAAGGTTTGACTAGCTTGTTGTTAACCTTAAATTTCAACCTGTTTTAAGTGTATGTTTCTACAAGTGGAAACATAAATTGTATTACCATGTCCCGTAATTATCGTTTTCATATATTGCATGAGTTACTCCTACTATAGTTTTAAAAACCGATTTCCGATTAGATAATTGCGTCTATGAGTAAAATTTAGGCCCAATTGCGAATGCAACCACAAATATTATATTATGTATTATGATCACAACATACCAGTGTTTACAAAAATCTTTTTCAAAATCTCTTCATCAAATACAGAACACATGAATTATTTTACAGCCATTGACCAGTGGTAGAACTCAGTCATTTATATACCGCTGACTACACTAAATCGAATATATATCACTAACGTTTCGGAGTTTAAATCATTTTTGTAGATTGTAAATAATGTGTAGAGTTTTACTTTTTTCAATAAAATAACGGTAACTTCCTTAGGTCAGTACTTGTTTAGAATGAATTGAGCAATCACTACTTTTGTGTATAAGATGCTAAACTTAAGATAGAAATTCCATAATTCTAATCAGAGCTTTGCAGTAATGGGGAATCTTAACATTATCAGCTAATAGCAAAGCTTCGGAAAAGTTTGTGACGCATCTGACACAAAATTTAGCTTTAGAATTCGTTTTAGAGACGTTGTATAGCAGGATTCAAATCTTACCTTTCATGGCTTCTTGAGATGTCAAATTATGTGTTTGTGGATTTTTAACAGGACATATTCCACCTGTGATTTCGTTTGGAAATTTTTGTAGACTGTCAACCACAAACTTATAGCACGAATTCGGGCATCCATAAAGTTTTGAAGGAACTCTGATACTCCATTCAATTGGTGAAAGCTGGACAAAACATCCACTCACAGCAATTGTAATAACATTCAGTCTGCTCTTCGAACAACACGTCATCATCAATAATTTAGAAGCCAGTTCAATAACTCTGTTATTTGGATTTATATTATTCATTAAAAGAGTTAAATAGAGGGGACGTGAGTTGCAAACTGTGGATAATTGTTGTATCTCATAAAATTCCTGCAAGTAAAATTGTGTGTAAAAAACATCATTTATACAGTACCTACCTTAGTCAGTAAACCGTCTGTGACTAGTAATACACATTCCGCATCCACATGCGAGTAAGACGCCAATAACGCAGGAAAGACATAACAGCTAGTCCCAAAACATACACTTCTTAACCACTTATTTAACTCCTGTATATTTATGTAAGAAGCTACTACCAGCTTCGTTCGGAAGCGCTTGACCTATTTACAAATATTTTCATGAGCAAAGAGAGCTTACATAGTCATCGAATGTTATAACATTAAAATACAAGGCTTTGTTGTTTATAGCCATCTTGCACAAATGTTCGACAATATGAGAGCAAATCTGATCCCACACTTTGTAAATACTTCCAGAAGTGTCAATACAAAAAACAATACGAGATTCTCTCACATCACCGAAAATGGTTTTGCGTGTTGATATCCGTGCACAGTGATTTGCAGAACCACATAATCTTGATATTCGCATGCTATATTATTTCATGTAACGCTTAGTATTCCGTAGGTTCCCGTTTAGTCCGGAGGTAACTTATGTTCTGGGGAAGTGTTAGATGCAGTACGTGAAAAGAACGAGAAAATAAGTGAGCCGATTACTTAGTAAGCACATAAAACGAACTTACAATCAGTAATAGTTGTTATCGATGAAAATCGGAGATGCCACAAGCGTAATATTAAGATAATCTGATTAATGAAACTAAAAGTTGGTAGCGTAGGATTTTGAACGCGATACATTCAGGCAATTCAAATCCTCTCATAACTCGCAGCTAAAGCAACATAAAGATAAACAATTGTCATAATAATTAATCGTGGAGATTAATTCTAACCAAAAAGCTTAACACTGTTAGATACGTAATATACTGTTAAAATAATGCATTATGAACAGGGAAAAAGCAGTCATCTTAGCGTGCCTCCCTCATCTCATAATTTATGCATTTACAAGAGTAAGGATGTAAACCATCCTCCCCCATATCCTTTTATTTCATATCGTCTCCAGCTGAGAGAGGTTTATTGGGTAAAAACAGTCCCACGACGACAAGAATCAGACCTAACAGACGTCACTTTTTAAGTAACCTTGGAACTTATCACACAGAAGTTACAACCAAGTATATAACATTTCATTTTGTTCTAAACTGAGCAGACTGAACGGAAACTAAAGAAATCACTCGTTATACGAACATACGGTTAAGTAACTGACTACAGGACTAATGATTCAGGACCAATATTATTAGTATGCGGCTACACTGGTAAGGTCTGAAAACCGAGGTTTTACATGAAAGTATACTGAACCCTCTGTTGTACCTCACATTCATCTAAGACCTCTCAGAAAACTTCAGTTCCATAATAATTAACTATCCACACGATATTAAACTTCGAAGAGCCGTCAGATGTGAAACGGATTTACAAGTGCCCCCAAATGACCTCATATTCCCGGACGAACAGACACAAAATAATGGTTTGAAACTCAGTTACCAAAAATGTTGAAAAACACAATTCCTAGATAAGGGAAAGCGTCAGGCTGATCAGTTTATATTTCAAATAACAAAACGGAACATTAGAGATAACTACTATGTAAGTGCAGCTGCTCCTCGTTCTGCCAAAGAGCAACTAGCTACGGTAATTCTTGAGCCCGTTCAGATGTACTTCAAGACCTACATATGCCTACATCTGGAAAACCACAATACCATGTTAATCTAAAAGGTGCTGCACTTCCGAATCATTTTCTAAACTGGTTAGAATGTTAAGTCTCGTAAACATTATCTGTAGAAGCGACAAGTCATCTGAAGCTGTACGTTTCTCGTCTGCCTAGAGGGTACATTGTGTAGTATTGGAGCATTCAGAGTGGCTTGAGCGAATAGAGCTGAAAAAGAGAAAAACAAACGAACAGGCGAGTCGAAAACTCATCAAGCGCACACGGTTCATTAACGTTGAACATAGGCACGGCGGACAATAACCAGCAGTAACAAAAGCTTCAGGTCGGGGTAATCTGGAAGTCCATAATAGAGACAGGTAGTCTAACTCGCTATAGCAACTGATTTTACAGATGCGGGTTCAAACCTAAAATCGCCCGTTTTATTCTGGTTTGTTCTCTGAGGGTCGTTGGCCTGGTATAGTCTTACACGGTCAATGAATTTTGGAGTTACAGAGTGTTAAGGTAAGGAGTATTGCAGTTGAAGTAATGGCTTTTATTAGAAGTCAGAGACATGAAGTAGTGACGTTAGGAACCAGATTTCGTGAGAGTTGATGTTCGATTTTGGTGTCTTGTAGTCTCACGGTTAAGAGCTGCGTCCGAGTGAATCTAGAGTTAATAGTTACGTTTCAAAAGATGTGAGGCTAGATATTAGAATCTGTCGGGATTACAGATACTTAGTCAGATTTGCCTATGTTTAGTACATGTAAGTTCATGGTTGGTATTCAAACTCTCAATCTTCCGTGTTTCCATCATTTCGAGCTCTTACCCGAAAGTTGCTTCCTGATTGGTAAATCCGAAGTCTACCAGATCCGCTGAAGTTCGCTGGTATGGTGATCTTTTCAGTCGGTAATCAGTAAAAGTGATCCGTTTCAACAAGTATTTAATGGACAACAGGTCTTTATTCAAATGGTTCAAATGTTTGTGGACGGAATAGAGGAAGCTTTCGCTTAACAGGCTTCCGTGTCTAGTAGCTGTGGATCACCGAAACCTCCAGGCAGGAACATAGGTTTATTAACGATAACAGAGGAAAAATAAATAATTATAAATAAGTTTCCTCTTAAAGGACTCCTGGGAAGTCGCTTGGACTAGCTCAGCCGGCAGCGAATCCCATCAACTGACAATTCTCAAGGAGTAGAAGTTGTGTCTGCAGTGGCATGTCCGCAGTCCTTTCTGCCGTGTTGTGTCTCCAGTTTCTGAATACTGTCCCTTAGATTTGTGTTGGAGCTAAACATAAGTAGGTGCTGAAGGGGATATCCAGAAGTTTCAAGGATGCTGTAAGCCATTAAAAGGTAACCTCTAAGACGCCTATACCCTAATGAGTAAAAGTTTAGTGACTGGGTGCTCTTCATGAGGCTTGAATTGGAGTCCTTGAACTGGTTTCGTGGCTCGCCGTTGGATACGCTCCAGAATGAGGGAGGAAATACTATGTTTCCGTATTCTAAGTGGGGACCAACAAAACTGTTGAAGATTATGTGGACAGATCTGTAACAGCTCAGGTTGGTTGGTTAAGAGTTGATCCCAAACAACCAAGCTTATGCCAAAACAGTATTGTTCAAGTATTCATTCACTTCCTTATTTTTCATAAGCGTTATATTCCCTATTATCTTGAATGTTGAGAGCCTTTGTTTGTCTGAACAGATAATCCCACGCTCCACTGTGACTGCGCGAAGATCGAAATAAAGACCTATTCTCTACTTCTCTGGTTTCTTCTATCAATAGCACGAGGGTTACCTTAAGGCACGAAACTGGTGAGCCCTTTTTGAACACAAATTTAACCTCATTTCTGTTATTAACATTTTTTTTACTTAATCGTAAAAGTAGACCTGATTATCCGTAAACTAATTTGAGTATATAACTAGTTTATTCCGTATTATCTTAAGTTATTCGTGTTATAGTAACCACTTTTTGTGCTAACTTTATTGCTATATTTGTCACATACCTCATGTCAGACTCAATAGAAACCCATAATCTGGAGGATTTGTCACCAGTGGAGATAGACACTGTTATGACTACGAAATCCCGACTTCCAGAATTTGATCGTAGTGATCCTGAGTTGTGGTTTGCTCAACTAGAGCATTATTTCACGAGACACAATATCAAATCTGAAGGGATTCGCTATAGAGACTTGTGCTCTATCCTTCCTCCCTCAGTCGCCAAAGAAGTCCGTGACTTGATTTTAAGTCCACCATCACCACAACCATACACCATCTTAAGACGAGAGATAATGAACCGTTTATCATTATCAGATAGTCAAAGAATCCAAAGACTTTTTCAAGGTGAAACACTAGGTGATCGGTCGCCGTCACAGTCTTTACGTCACCTCCAAGTCTTAGTGGGTGAAGCAGTCCTAAAACAAGGATGGATACAAGCTCTCCCATGCTACGTCCAACACTGTTTGGATGCACAGGATCCTGAAACCTCATTATCTCATTTAGCGCGTATAGCCGACAGAATAATGGAAAGAGGTCCTCCAACTGGATCAGGCACAATAAATCACACACAAAAAGTAGAATCAGCAAAAGACCCCGTAATAGAAGGACTCATTGCGAGTGTTAAGAGTCTCACTGAGGCTGTCACCAGAATGCAAATGGGTCATAGAAACAGGAGCAGGTCACCACAACGACCACGATCCAAGTCACAAAACAGGTCACAAATGTCCAGACAATCTGGGCAGTTTTGTTGGTACCACTGGAAGTTTGGTGTCAACTCAACCAAGTGCATGCAACCATGCGCCTGGCCTAAGCATAATTCTAAGACAGCGGGAAACGAGTAACCCCTCCCCAGGTCGCGACGACTGAGGAGGGGCGCCTAAACAGTCGCTTGTTTTATGTTAGAGACAGAAACTCGGGCTTGAATTTCTTGGTGGATACTGGCGCTGCTCTTAGCATCATCCCTCGAAATAAAACTGAGATTAGTCGAGAACCATCATCAATTACACTTCAAGCTGCAAATAAAACTAAAATTGCGACATTTGGGCAGAAAACTTTAACCCTAGATTTGGGGTTCAGGAGGCAATTCCCTTGGGTTTTCACGGTAGCCGACCTAGATCTGGCAATACTGGGGATGGACTTTCTAGAGAGATACGAATTTCTAGTTGACACCAAGAAACGGCGATTAACACTAAAAGAAACTTCGTATTACACAAAAGGCAAAGAAAGTCACGTCAACTCTCTTAACTTGATTCAAACTCCCCCAGTAACAACAGCGAAATTCCAAGATATACTCGCGGAATTTCCAAACTTAACTAAACCAAACCCACAGCCTTCTAAAGACAAACTAAAAGTGAGTCACACTATCAAAACCGAAGATGCACCGGTGTTTGCAAAACCCAGGAGACTAGCACCAGATAAGCTCAAAATCGCTAGGGCCGAGTTTGATTATATGCTACAACTGGGTATCATCCGTCCCTCTGATAGTCAATGGGCATCCCCTTTGCATATGGTCCCAAAGAAGAATGAAGGTGACTGGCAACCGTGCGGGGATTACAGAGCCCTAAACCGTCAAACCGTACCTGATAGGTACCCAATACCTCATATCCAAGATCTCACCAACGGTTTACAGGGTATGAACATATTCACTAAAATTGACTTAGTCAGGGCATATCACAATATCCCGGTGGCTGATGAAGATATTCCCAAGACAGCTATTACTACACCCTTTGGCTTATTCGAGTTTGTACGCATGCCATTCGGCCTGAGAAATGCGGCACAGACATTTCAAAGATTCATAGATAACCTACTTCGAGATATGCCATTTGCGCAGGGGTATATAGACGACTT